AATTATATATATATATATATATATATATACTGTATATTGGAATAAACTTTTGAATAATTAAGATTTCTTATTTTATTTATCTATTTATTGTATATATCAAGTCAAGAAAAATCACCTTTATTTATGTAGTGCTTTATACAATACAGATTGTGTCAAAGCAGCAAGAGGACAATAGTAACAGTACATTTTTCAGTTAAAGTCATTTCATTGTTGATTGAGTGTGTGTGTGTGTGTGTGTGTGTGTGTGTGCCTTGTTGTGGGCGTAAACGTGTTTATGTAAAAGGAATGTGTTTTGATGCATATGGGTTTGGCACTCTGAGATAACAGACGATAGGTCAGCAGAATAGCATTACAGTGAATGTAATGTTTATATGTTTCTATTTGCTTTAGCAATGTATTAAGTTACTAAGTAAAGATCACTAGATAATTTATTTGTGAGTCTTTGACATTTATCATCTCAGGAGGAACATGGCTCACAACATTCATCTTGACCCTGAGAGATAGGCCTATTCCGAGTTAAAAATATGATGAATTGATATTGGTTGATCAACAATTTGTGAATCATGTCTATGATACCTAGAGAGCTATCAGTTAGCATTCCCATTCATCTTAATGACACTTACTTGGCTAGCGCATAAAGCACTGGGAGTATTTAATCAGACATCTTTACTCATTTACCACCACTGACATTTATTTGAGCCAATCACCTAAATTGTAAATTTCATGTGACTAATCACTCTGTAGCTCCAAGATAATGACATCATGACACTGGCTGATGTAACTAAATGGACACACACACTCCCGAACCATTCAGTGCCGACTATCCTGAGGTGTGTAGTGTAAGTCATAGCAGAAAATGAAGAATACAAGTCCGTTTTATTCTTTTAATCTAGCAGGCACTGTTAAAACATCTACTATAACACAATAAAATATTAATATCTGTTGTTTACAATATTACTTATATAGATATTTTTGATATCAAATGAGGAAAATAAAGTTTTGTCTGCAGACTAGCAGATGTTGCAACTTCACTTCATTTAAAGGGGTCATCGGATGCCTATTTTCCACAAGTTGATATGATTCTTTAGGGTCTTAATGAAAAGTATATAACTTACTTTGGTTAAAATTTCTCAATGGTAGTGTAAAAAACACCCTTTTACCCTGTCAAAATCAGCTCTGTTTTCAGCACACTGTTCTAGTGCGTGTTGCTTTAAATGCTAATGAGCTCTGCTGACCCCGCCCCTCTCTTCCGTGGGATGACGAGTAGACTGTAAACTTCAGCCCGAAACTTGCTAACTAGCACATATTAGGAAAGGCGATTTTATAGGATGGATGTGTACACACACTTCTAACACACATTTATGTTCAAACAACAACGAAAGTGAATTTTGCATCCGATGACCCCTTTAAAGGTAAAGTGTGCACTTTAATGTGCTTTAATGTGCCAACTGTGTGTAAGCCATTCACACTTCCTGAAGACTAAACAGTGAAATCTCAAAAAACAAAAACAAAACAATTCTAGGTTCTATTCTGCAGCAAATAAAAACCAGAAGAAAGAAAATTATATTTTAAATAAAGAAAATGTAGCCTATTATAAGATTTTTTGCATTTAATTTCTGCAATGCAAAAAAATTACATTAATTAATACAAATAAAATAAAATTATGATTTATTATTCAAATGGTTATTTAGCATCTTAAGAAATCAGGAAGGGGGCCAACACTTTTTCACACCACTGTATTTAATTAACAACAACAACAAAAAATACTGTCACTGGAGAAATAAGAATACAATAATAATAATAAAAATCTACTCCTAAATGAAGCATATTTTAGGGCAATTACTGCAATATAAGAAAGCATTAATAAATAAAAACAAAGATTATGACATGATTTAAAAAGTTATTTTAGTTATTTAGCAAAATAAATCTGTTGCTGGACAGATGGAGCTTAAACAAGCTGAACGAGACACAGAGGAGCTCCTCTTACACCATCCATGTGTTTACATTGGATCAGAAATCCACTGTTTACAAAGATGCGTAAACCACACTGCCAACATGAAGCTGGAGGATTTGGACTCCAAAAGGAAAGGCAGGCCTGCGGGTCAAGATGGAGCTGTGTTATGATGTGTTTCCTGTTAGATAAAGCATGTGGGCCGCACTAATGAGGTGGCAGAGAAAACGCTACGTGTGGCTCGATCACATGAACGTGGAGGAACGAAGAGATTCGACCTCCTGCGCTCAGTAAAAAGGACTCACGGATCTCTGCTAATGAATACGAACACATTTTCTGCACATTAATATACTTTGTTGTAAACAGGGCGACTACAATAGCTTCTGCTCTCGTCGTAAGATCTTCTAAGTCTGCGGTTTTGAGTTTGATTGGCTCTGAATATGGGGCACATTTGTCTCATTTTCAACTCGACTAAGACTCAGGCCAAAGCAGTTTGTCACTGAACAAAAACAATCTGGATGTAACGTCAAAGTTTGCAGTAAGCGTTACCTGCTGGTTAATTCCTCCGCTCATTGTGTCTGCTATTTATTTCACAGGAGCTGTTTTATAAACCCAGAATCAGTTAGATAAATTGTCATTCCTATGAATAAATATTGTGGTAATGCAATCCCTGCTGGGGGCGAAAAACAGCTGAAGTCTAGTCTCCCGACTTCATCAAGCTGTTCTGATTTAATGGTTTTATAAGGGTCTTGTCTGATGGTCATGCTGAAAGACCAGCTAAACTATCTTAAACCAGTTAAAACCAGCACATTACCTTACTCGCTGGGTTTTTAGCAAAGATATGTCATATCTAGTGTAAATTGACTTTGTAATGTATATACAGTAAGTCTACGGTGTTGTCTTGATGGGTTTGTTAGGCCACAATGCAAGCTAACTGAAAAAGCATTCAGCAATCAGTATGTTTGTATCATGGTGTAATCATGCATGAAAATTGCATGGCTTCACAATTTAACATCTGCTATATAGCTGCATTCAGGTCAGTGGAGTGACTGCAATTGGGTCATTCAGTGTCAAATCAACCAAATTTCAAACTTCTGCAGCTAGTTTTTTTTATATTTTTTTTTTTCTAAAGAAAGACAAATATAAATAGTGAAGAAAGCAAAAATATCAAATGCCATGGATGAATATTTACTGAGTAATCCACTATTTTGTAGAGGGAATTTTCAACTGCGAAAATTATAGAAGGGGGAAATAACTTTATGAAAAGACTGCAGCTTCATTATGTTATTTTTACATAGAGATTAGTAGGTCTATTAGTAAAATCTATTGACTTCAGCAATCTTTGTTGCATTATATGCCAATGGTGACCTTCACTTTTCAGTTTTTTTTCTCTCCAAAGTTTGCATGCCTGTAACTCAAGTATTAATCTTAGTATGCTTTTAGATTTTTGCTCTTAACAAACTTTTCTTTTGGCATCTTCATTTTTAAGGCCCTATATGGTTCAGTTCCAGAGATCTCAATGTAGCTCCAAGAGTAGAAAGTTTAATTGTACACATTTTCAGCAGTCAAAAACCAAATGCGAGTCCCTTTGCGTACAACTGATACTTTTTTATTTTAAAGAAGAACAAATAATGTTGAAAGTAGAAATCTATCTTGTTTCCCTCTATCACAACACATAAGAACATACTTGTCTGAGTGCCAAAAATATTATTTTTCCAAAGTTTGCATGCCTGTAACTCAAGACATATCAAAGATGTTCTTGTAGATTTTTATTTTATTTTTATCTTCATTTTTAATGCCCTATATGGTTCAATGCCAGAGATAATGCGGCTCCATGTGAAAATTGTTGAATTTTACCCATTTTCAATTATCAAAAACCAAATGTAGGTCACTTTGCATACAGCTGATACTTATCGGTTTTAAAGAGGAATGTCTGAAGAACAAATAATGTTTAAACTTATTAAAGAAGTTGCAGCTTATGAGATCAAAAAAGACACGAACATGTTCACTACTGGAAATTTCGTAATTGCGGTACGTAACGCAGCTTTATGCAGTGGATTGTTATAATGGTGACAGGGAATGCAGAATCACAGTGCTCACATTTAAAAAGTTCATTTATCAGTTTTGAGCCTGACCCTCATTTACTATTTCAATTAATCTTAAATTTTTTTTTTTTTTTTAAATCATGGTGCATTGGAAAAGCAGCCTTTATTCAATCAATAATTAATTAATTAAAATAATTATTATAATATTAATCAATAATTAAATAATGAATTTGATTTAATCATTTATTTGTAATTAAACTGTCATTAATGAAATGTCATTTGTAAACAAATTTCTGTCTAAACTGTTTGTAAAATCATTCATTGTTGCACTGAACTAAATGCACCAATTTACATACATAAAATGTACACAGAATTTTTTTCACATTTACAGCAGAAACAATTTTTAAAACAATTTACACATCAATTTTGCTTGTGTTATTGTGTTACTGATTACAATGGTTTTGATTTAGGAAAAAACACTAGTTGTAGATTGACAGGAGGATGACAAGTGCTGTGGTCAAACTTAGAGCCAGAAGTGGATGTTGGTTAATGGACGTCGTCCTGTCAGTCGGCCAGACGTCTCGAACCCCACACTCGGAGCAATCCGGCCCACACAGCGAACACACAGACATGTCCTGTCTTGTCTCAGATGTGTAGGACCGCACTGTCCTCCGTCCTGCAGAAGGTAAGGGAATGAAACAAGGAGCTTGAAACACATACTGGAACATACAAATGCATTAGAGAATCTGGAGCTATTATTTAAAGAGTCTTACGGGGCTCATAGTAATCGTAGATCATGACCACAGCATCTTGGACATTGGTCACCTTAAAGTCCTGGATGGTGGATATTTCAACGCACCTTTCCGCTGTGGTCACCTGTGATGAGAGAAAAGACAGTGAGACTGGACATACAGCCATGGATGCATAATGAACACAAAAACATGAACCAAATAAACCATCATCAGCACAAAAACAGACTTAGCACACAATACTGATACAAATATTGTATAAGAAGCTAAGAGGAACTCACCGTGTCTAAATAAAGTATAACTCGTCCTGAAGGCGTCTCTACTCGTCTGACTATATCATTTAGCTGGACACCGTTTTGGGCCAAACTGAACCCCGAGAGTAAACCCACGTCCAGTATGGCCATACCCGTCTGTCTCAGGCCCTGGTTCTCCCTCAGCCTTAAAACAGATTTCTGATCAAAAGTGATTCCATCGAATATCCACAGTGACCCCAAAAAGTATTTGGACACTTAAAAATGTTTGAATTTCATGATTTGCACTAGTTATCCAAAATGTAATGCAATATTGATGATATACTGTAGAATATGCATATTGTAATTTAAGTATATTTTTAGGAATTGTTTTTTTGTTAATCAACAATGTGGACACTGATTTTACTTTTTAACATCCATAATGAGACTACTGTATATTATTTATTATATGCTTTCTGTATTGTACTATTTTTCTATTCTGCCCAATAATATCACGCAAAATGGCCTGCTGATGAAAATGAGCCTTCTGTCTAACTCAAGAACATTTACATTTATTTGAATGTTTATTAAAGGGGTCATATGATGCGATTTCAAGTTTTCCTTTCTCTTTGGAGTGTTACAAGCTGATTGTGCATAGATAAGATCCCTGAAGTTGCAAAGACTAAAGTCTCAAAACCAAAGAGATATTCTTTATCAAAGTTAAGACTCTGCCACGCCCCCCTAAAACGGCTCGTTCTAACACGCCCCCACATATCTTCCACATATGTGGAAATATTTGCATAATGCGGCCCAAATGTGCACGCAAAGAAAGAAGGCGTGGTTTCATTAATCGCAGTTAGTGTTGAAGCAGCCATGTCAGGGAGACGCTGTGTGTTTCTAGGCGAAAGCAAAAGCACTTTATTTAATGCACTGGGTTAGCTGGCCAATCAGAGCAGACTGTGCTTGTCGGAAGGAGGGACTTTGTAGAAAACGAAGCGTTTGAGAGAGGCGGGGCATAGAGGACCTACAATAATGTACAGTATTTGAAAAATAATGTGTTTTTTGAACATTAAAGCATGTCAACATATTCTGTTACACCAAATACACAAAATAATGATCTTTAAAAAAGCATCATATGACCCCTTTAATGTACATTGTCCTTTTTAAATAAATAAAAATAAATGGAATGAAATGAAAAGAAACAAACAAACAAAACATCAAACCGAGTGGAATCTGCAAACTAACAATTGAGCTTTTCACAAAACATTTTTTAGAGCCACTTCTTTTAGAGCCAATTATTTTTCATGCATCCATTTTTCATGAATGCATGAAGTCATTTCTCAAATTCACATGGATGTCCTAGCAGAATAACAACGGTGTCATTTATTATATAAATAACAATAAACATCCACAAAGTTTGACAACCAGAAACTGTCCAAGACTTTTTGTCTTCATTTTAAACAATATATTTACTGTTTCATACTTCATTTTGTGATTTTTTTTTAATATTGAAATGTGCACTTGCTATATTTTATTCAAAATAAATGCCATTTGTTTTGATATTTTGTTTTATAATTCAAATATATTTATAAATGTTTTATTATTACCATTTTGGATTTGAAAATAAGATATTAAACAGCGTATTGTTGATCAATTTTATTTTATATTTATCAAATTTATATTATTATGTTTAATGTGATATTTATTTAAATGAGTCTGTGTGTGTGTGTGTGTGTGTGTGTGTGTGTATATATTGTGGAGAGT